TGGTTCATTTATTTTTCCACAACTACAAGAGACGCGTGCTCTCGGTGACTCCAGGATTTCAACACAGAGCTCAGCAACGCTCGCTCCCTCTGCGACCTAAACCGGCAGAGACCTAATGCTTATGTGTGCCTGGGTCTCCTCTGTCAAATAACATCCTCCAAAGCACATCTGGCGAGGGAAGAGCCAGACTGCCAGTTGGAAACTCATCAGCTGGCTTGGGTGCAAGAGGAAGCCCTGAGACTCTTGGGGCTGTAATGACGGAGGGGAAGAGCTGAATACCCACAATCTGATGAGTCAATAAAACAATCTATAACATTTGTCTGCAGTGTGAGGGCAGGGAAAAGCCCCTCCTGACATGCGCAGCAACTCACTCAGCTTGTTCTGCTGCTTGGCTCAATCTCCAGAAAGCTTCTAACTTTTATAGTGGCATTCATTACATGCAACTCCTTTGTGCACCCTGGCCCCTCCGTTGGAGGTGTCTCCTGTAAATGGGCACAATCAATTCCCCCCCCCATGAGGATGGCAGTACGTCCCTTGGAGAGGCCAACATGGAAGGCACTAAAATAAGGAGCAAAACTGTCCACTGAGCACAGCTCAGCCGTGCTGCTTTCCGCACAGGCAAGTACAGTCTCTTCCTGACCAGCAAAGTAACTTGTTTATGCCCAGGAACAACAGACTGGACTTTCCTTATCTGAGCCTGAAATTGCTGAGCTTTTATTTGCATTTGCTTGTCTGAGGAAAAAAAAAACAAAAAGAGAAGAAAGAAAAAGAAAGAATAAAGATAAAAGAAAAAAGAAAGAAAGAAAGAAAGAAAGAAAAAAAAAGAGAGTTGTTTCTAAAAACCATACCAAACCAAAACAACATTCCAGTTTCCAGTATTTTATTCAATGTGTGCTGGCTTCACAAGCCCTGGAAGTTATTATCTACATGGGAAGAATAAGAAATCAACAGTTCTGACCAGCAACAATGGCTGCAGAGAAAGAGTGTTTGGCAGCAGCTCGCAGGCAGGGAGGAGGGAAGGAATGCAATGAAGAAGAGGAATGCAACGCTCGGCATGACCTACAACATTAACAGCACCCTGCATTGTGGGCCACCCCATTATTTTGATCACAACCACAGTTTGCTTAATTGGTATTCCTAAAAAATGACAGAAGACAAGTGTTTGCATCAATTAGCTGTCATTTCTTATTTTTTCCTTGAATATGTTTTGCTCATTTTTTCAGCTTCTTTAACTGGAAAGCTGTTGCAAAAATTAAGATATATACCAAAGAAAAATCAGATGCTTGTTTTATTTAGTCACTGGAGACAGACACTCTGGTTTAAATTACAATGGATTATCTGACTAAACTGTTGGGGGAATATTTACTATATCTTTAAGAAGCCTCTTTCTCTTTTTCTCTAATTCTTTATAAAATGCTTTGAAGGCTTTCCAAATTAATTTTTTCATTATTAAACAAACATTTCAGATTTGTTATCTTACCTTTCATAATGTCTGCGAGTACATGTAGCAGCACTTGTGCTTCCAGGGTTACCACCTAATTCATCATAAATATGTTTCCATTGTCGACGGGCTGTTATCTGTAAAAATGGCAATGGAAAATTTAATCTTGCATCTTTATAGATTCTACAGTGTTTGAGTTCACAACAACAAATGCATGTATGACACTTTCAGAACAGCATGTACTACAAGCACTATAAAAGCCCCTACAGAATATACAGAGTGCACAGAGCTTTGGGTGTCTTTTTTTTTTCTGTAAGTTAGCACTATATCTATTTTCTTTCTGTCTAAAATGGAGTGATCTGACTGATTCGTTATCAAGTCACAAGCAATACGGACTCGCAAAAGAGAATTTCAATCAATACGGGGTCATTAACCATCAGAAGTTATGCAGTCAAATCCCACGGTGAATTATGAAAATGAAGCTCAAACCATACTCAGCACAAATAACGATTACATAGTTTTTTTAACTGAATTAGAGAAAATAAATCTGCTGCAAAACCCAAATCCACCACAGAATTCCGAAAATCCACAAAAGCATAGTCCGTAACTCTGTATGTTACAAGCTGTTTATTTTTATCCATTTATGTCAGTAAAATATATAGATCAAATACTAATGAAATCTTAACATACTCCAATGTTAATATTTGAGCTATATACTTTATTGGACCATGCTGATGAAAATAAACATCTTGTAACATATTGAGTTGCATACCATGGTTCTGTTTTTTTGTACAGAAATTAGGATTATACAGAATAACAGATGGAAGACCTGGCAAAAGGATTGTTTCTGAATACCACTTCATTATTTTATATATTCCTCTATATTTAAAACAGGAAGAAAAACAGGAATAGGACAAGCACAACAGATCACCCTCTTTTGCCTGCAGCTCATAAAGAAGGCCGGTGGAAAACTGTAGGGGCAATTTGGGGAGAATTTTGTCATTTTCTGTGGAATGCTGTGGATTTAATATATTCAGCCCTGGAGGCTTCTTCGGAGTTACCCACAGAGCAGTCAATGGCGTTTACTGAGGAGCTAAAGGCAGCAATCAGAAGAAAACAAATATTACAACTTGCAATCTGAGGCCTGTAATTTTAATCTAAACAAGAGGAGATAGCTACCATCATCAGATAGTACAGGGTAAGAGGTGTTTCTTTTTTGCTCAATACAAAAGGAAAATCCTTCCTTTGCAGAAATTATTCTCCAGAGCCAAAAGCATTGCTGGAGACTTATCATTTGATAATGTTACAATTTCTTCAAATTTACTGTTTGCGGAGTTCTCCAGAAAACAGCAGCACTGTCAAGTCACTATTAGCACCTGAGCATAGTTTGCATCTATAGATACTTGAAAAAAAAAAGTATTCTATCTTAAACCTTATTTAAAGCTACATGAACCGACTTCATTCATTAATTTTATTTTCTGTCTTTTGTAGCAAACCTAGAGACCACAGACACAAGAATTCAAGCAATTCAAGAATAAAATCTGTACAAATAAATTATTTAAATACAAATCAAACGCTCATCTGAAGATAAGGTTCATCTCTAAGCCTATTTGGTTTAAGTTCCTACGCTGTCTCCTTCTCAGGCTACCCACACTTCTACTTATTATTACTACTAAAGGGTTTGAAGAACCGGAGTCCTAATGAGCCATAAAGAACATCACATCCTGAGAATATGAATGGATGCACTTTATGCAACCCAAGAGGTCAAGTGAGAGTTGGACCAAGTACCCTGCTGTGGAGGAATGCCTGGATGGGAAGCTACCTCTGGTCCTGCCTCCCACATTCCACCAGTCCACTCAGGACAGGCAGAGGACAGAGGCACGGCCAGACAGCCACCTAGGCTGCCTTCTTGTAGCTCCCAAAAAATCAGAGATCCCCTGAGGACTGCTGCAAGTGGCTTTATATTAAATCAAGTCTCTGGCAGGCTCACAGACGAGGGGAACAAAGGTGCACAAAGCCAATCTGGGGTCTGTGCTCTGGCCCTCTGACAAGCACAGCCTGGCTGGCTTGCAAGGCTGTGGGCCAGGACCTGATGCCTTGGCTAAGAACAGTGATTGCTGTGCAGGAGCTTTAAATGAAAGCCAAGGATTAGTTAGCAAGAGGACTACTGCAAGCCCCCTTTTTAAATATCCCAATGTGACTAAGAAGCATGGTCTCCATTTTCAAAAGGAAAATGTTAACTTTAGAGCCTTGGTCTTGTTTACCATGAGCTGACTCAAGAGGTGATACTCACGCTGGAACACCAGTAAACATAACCTACTTTAAGGGGAAAAGGGAATCTCTTTGAAATCCCACGATCATTTTTGGTGTCTCTTTCCTCTATGCTGCTTAGAATAACAGTATTTTCACAAACATTTGCCCAGCTTTATCTAATTCTACCTCTCCAGTGGACTAGAGCTGCTTGACAATTAGCAGAGCTGTGCCTCCTACATACAGAGCTAAGTTTAAATTTGACATTCCCCGAAACAATTGTTATTCTAACAAAGCCTGGGGTTGAATTTTCTCCTGCTCTGGAAAGTTTATTTTTTATGCTTAATAAACTTCAAAGGACTAAAGGAACTGATTAATTACACTCTTAATCTGAACAAAATGCTGCACTGAGGAAACTTCACTGCTGTCATATAGGGCAGCTCTGCTCAAGCTGGATGCCCATGCTGACCACATCCAAATTGAGGACTGCTTTCCTTTCTCATACCATTTCCTCCCAGCCACCTCAGTGACCAAGAACTTCCTGGGGAGGGTAATGCTTTGCAATGCTTTGCTTACAGTTCTGGTTCCCACCAAAATTCTCTGCCTTTGCTGCATTAGTTTTCCAATTTGTTCTTCCCTACTCCTAACCAGTATATACATACCTCCCAATGCCTGCCACGTTTCTAGAAGTGCAGGATGCTCCAAACTGACCTATTAATCAAGGCAATTGCACAGGCCAGTGCAATTGCCATCTCTGACAGCTTCCCATTCCAATGCTGGCTTTAGTTTTAAAGCAGTCTGCTTTGCAGAGCCCTCTAGCAATTTGCTCCAACCTACAGCTTCACAATCCTAGAGCTGGACCCACTGGAAGTCAGCATCTTTGAAAACTCCTGTGACATCTTTCCCAATCAGAAAAAACTGGAGGCTTAAGGTCTTCAGCACTGCAATCCCAGCTCCCTTCCTCCTGAAAGGATTCTTGCTTTTCCCACTGCAAACATAATAAGGAATTTTCTGGTCATGGTACGTGATGTTCACAGCCCTCTTCAAAACAGAGCTCTGGGTATTAGCTCTATATGAAACAAACTCAGGTAGCTTTGCATTCCACTGATATATCAGTTTCTTTGGGCCTGCCCAGACATAGGACTGTTGTATGTGTCAATCATTCATTTTTAAAAACTAAAGCACTTTATTGTTGCTTCCAGGAGGCAGTAGCTAAATGGGATCCCACTGATCTTTGGCAAAATCTAAGCTGCTACACACTAAAGGTTAAGCTCCACCTAATTTTCTTTTTACCCTTTATCTTTCTAAGACATCTCCAGGTAGAGTCCATTCAGCAGCACAGCCTTCTGCAAACATGCCAAGGCACTTCTTTTATGTTGGCTCAAAGAAAAAATGCTACTTCATGACTTGCCAAGGACAACTCTTTAGGTAAATCCTGGAAGTTTCCCATCCATGAATATCTGCATCTTTCACTCACTTGACTTAGGGTGACAGAATTCCACGCAATGGCTGTTAAATGCCACTGCAGCTGAGCCCCTCTGAATGTTTTGTATTTCACTCAGTGATCTGGGGACATTTTAAACCATTCATACTGTGAAGGTCTGCTACAGAGAGAGCTTTCCAATGCACTCTCCTATTATTAGTAACAAAGATGCTCGTTTCACATATCTTTGTTTAAGAGAAACATGATTCCACCTACTCCAAAGAGACAGCTTCATCTGTTAAGGACTTAAACTAATTTGTACGGGTTGCTATTTTTATTAAGCCTGTATTATGTCCAACAAGAAGTACAAGGGAGTGTGGTATTACACAGTTACAGATGACAACTAACTAAGAATTAGTAATCAAAAGGGGGAGAAATTACTCTTATGTGTACTCCGACTGGAGAACCCTTTATGACACACAATCATGACTTGACACTATTAGATATTCTGCAGGTATATCCCATATGCAAAGGTAATGCTCTCTGTCAAGCCTCACTGGATCCATTCCAGCCCCTGACACAGGACAATAAAGGAAAGTCAGACAGATGGCTAAGAAAGTTGTTCTCTGCATCTCAAATCCAATCCCTGGCTGTTCTCAGTCACTTTTAGATCCTTATCCAAACAGGACTGGACTCAAAGGTCTTGCACTGTTCTGTGAATCTGTGCAGAAGCTGGAAAACACCGCACATCACCTCTGCTTGTTTCTCAAAAATGTTTTTTAAACCCCACTGAAACATCTATATACGGACAAGGTGGACAGGGCAGTGGATAAAACTGAAAATGGGCAGACTATCATTGTTCTGTCAAACACAAGGATATAAAGTCTGCAACTGCTTTAACTGGGAAGGTTTCTACTCTTACTAGTAGAAAAACTAGTCATCTAAACACTCTAAGTTTCCATATGTCATTTTAACCAATGTTTTATCTGTTTCCTGTTCATAAAATCACTGTCACATGCTAAAGTCAAATATCTACTTCTAAATATTCTTTTCTTTACAATACTTCTAAGAGAAAAGACCTATTTCTATCTCAATGCACAAACCAGAAACCTGTGACATTTTAAAACAAGTTAAAGATGGTGAAGCCCTTATAACGGACAAAGGGTTTGTTCAAGCCAGATGGAAGGGTCCATAGAGATAAATGTGTATTAATCAGGGTAGGTTTCAGAAAGCCTTTGCTCTGCACATGACTTCTCCTCACTGACAGATAGTAGTACTGTGTGTGAGCAGTGGATTCTGGTCATTACTGAATTATAGCACTCACTTGAAATGTCTGCATCTAAGTAGACCTGCCTAAGATCCTAGAACTGATACTGAGGTACATGTCACCCCAGCCATCCACTGCCTTGTGAAAAATGAAACACGAATCAAACACAAAAGCCTCTCAGCAGTGCTCACCATGATAAAATATATACAAATGAATGCAGCTTGGCAAACTCAATGAATATCAACTGGCCATAAAATAATAAAAAAAAGGGTGTGCACAGGTCAAAGTATTGCAACAGCTATCAATTTAATAGGAAATTCAAAGCAAAGGCAGATCCATATTAAGGATGAGACTGTTAACAGATGAGAATGAGGTCAGGAAACCTCATGCTCCATTCACGACTTAAATTGCATCACAGAAGTCCTTCCAGCTTCAGCTCACCTGCCAAGAGCACAGACGCCACTCACATCATATAAACAGGATCAGACCCATCATTTCAGCCAGAGTCACTCTCCAAACAAAGCTGGGCTCACAGGTATGTCAGAGGGCATGAGCTATGCTTGCCTTGCCATTTACTGACCAGCAAGCAATTGCTCAGTTTACTCTCTATGAAGAATAAGCACCACTGGTACATTTTCATCAAAGGAGACAAATGTCCCTAAACAACAGAGAATATCTGTCTCTGAGAAAAGGACAGGAGGTCTGAGACAAGGATAGACTGAAGATACTCTGGATGATATTATCACATATGTGATTCTTCCCCTCTGATCCTCTCACATTTCTGCTTTCGTTGGCAGACCCAGCTCTTTGGCCCTGGCCTTGTGTTCACAAACTCTCCATCCTACTCCTGCTCTGCCCCAGGCACAGGGGTTCACCTGCTCCCACATCCCTAAATTCATCCCTCTCCTGCTGGCACTAAAACTCAGGTCTCTCCAGCAAGCCACCACTTTGGCATCCCTGCTTCTATACTTCATCCCTTCATGCAGACCTGAAACATCGCTGTGCAAATCGCTCGCCTCCCTGGGCGAGCACTCTGGACACACCACTTGCCTTTCAATCTCCCTCCTGGCCTTCCTAGTGCTCTGCATCAAATTCAAGATTTTAGCCCTCATTTTCCTTGCACTTTACAACTCATGGCAATTCTGCTAATTGCTGTAACGATCTATCTATGGCAGCTTTTCATTCATACATACCCATGAGCACGCCTACACACACCCCTGTACATCAGCATGGTATGTGCTGATTAATGAAAGATAGAAGAACAATAAAAGCCAAATCAAGCATATATTTTTTTTGAGAATGTTATATTTCATGTTTCACAAAATCCCAGGCACACCCATGCTAACCGGCCCGGGCTGCTGATGTACAGAACAATGTGCTTTATTGTATGGAAGGAAAACAGTGAGTTTTGCATTTTGGTTTGAATGACTTTCAGTTTCTTGATAGTGCGTTTCTTCTTGTCATTTCTCTACAGCACAGATATGTCCCAGATTACTTCGTAAACAAAGCAAAAATAATTTCTTTCATCCAACTGCGGCAGGAACTGAACAACTTAATCTGATCATTGTGTGCAAAGAAAATATTTCCAATGACGACATCTTCCTATGTCAATTGTTTTTTTATTACAGATGTCATCTCAGTGTGCCACATTAATGCAGCTCTTTCTTCTCATTTCAAGATTTTAATCTAAGTTTGTTGCTCTAATATTTTATTGGTTCAAAATACATGCTGTAAAATCCGTGGCCATCAAATTTTCCTGTGAGCTAAAAATAAACTGCTCTTGTCAGATATGGTTAACTGATAAAAAGTGTCAGAGACTTTTCTGAATTTCTTTGATAACTTCCTGTTTATGTGGTACTGACCCTAGTCTAATAAAGATCTTTTACACTTGGAATAAGAGAAGATTCTGCAGCATACTCTTCCTTAATGGACAATGCTGATTACTTTTGAAAGCCTTTAATACATTTCCCATATTAGACATGAACAGATGTCAGGGATGTTGCCAAGTGAAATTTCTTTTATGCAATCTTGGCTTGTTGTACAATAATAGCCCTTTCTCAACATGGGAAAAAATTACAGACCTAACTAATTTCCTTGACAGGGAAGAGTTACATATGTTTTCCACTTGTAGTTTTTACGACAAGTTTACAATTTTGCCAAACCTGGAACTAATTGGGACTGTTTCCAAAAATGGTCCAGTAAACCCACAATGTGTACAGCTAGCCTAAAATGCAGCAAATGATTGTTTGCTTTTACATTTTTTTTTCTAACAGGGAAAAGTTAGATTGCACAATTATTTCATTTAAGTTACTTAAACACTTACTGTTTCATATCCTCCCAGTTTTTGAGCAGCTTGAAACATAGTCCAAAGGTTAACTGTTAGAGGGACAATAAGTATTTAGATAAGCATTGCATTAGCCAACATATTTCAAAGAAATGTAAATTAAACAGTTAAAAAAAATAGAGAAAAAAAAAGCTTACAGCCCCTGAAAAAGTTCCCGTGAAACATTTTCCAAAGAGGTATTTACATAATCTGAGGAGTAAATATTAGCCCATACTATATATATTTTTAATTACATATAAGAGAACACACTTATAGATTCCTTAACAGGACTGGAAAAATACACTAAGACAAAGGTAATGGGCTCATTTGACTTTGCTGATAAGAGGCACAGTATAATGACTGGAGCATGTTTCCACAACCTTGCTAATAAAAATTACTCATTGGGAAGAATGTTGCTTTTAATTATTTGTTTAATACTGATTTCATTAGCAAGCAAGCATGAGCCACACACTGGCTCACAGAGAAAGCCTATCGATTAGACAACAATATCCAATATTTACTGCGGCTCAGATAATGGTCTCCATAATCAATGAACAATAAGCTGCGTTCTAACGGGTCCCGTGTGAATGAACCCAGATGGAGCACAAATGAGCATTACCATAATAATTACGCTGTGGCTTGTTGTGCCTTGCCCATGGCTGTGGGGTTGGAGGCACGGAGGCAACTCAATTCAAAAGATGTGTTGGGAGACAGTTGTTACTTCCTGCAGAACTCCTACCCCCCTGACGTGCTTTTCATCCTGGCCATGGGGCCACTGCTTGCTGCTGGTGTCTCACTTTTATTTTATTTTATTTTATTTTATTTTTTATCATTATTATTTTTATTTTATTTTAATTGTTACAAGGAAAATTGATGTCAGCCCTATGAAAGGTGTATGCATGATTCCACCAACAAACACTCATTCCCCATGGACACGCCACAAATACTCCAGGTCAGCAATAATGCTGTGGACCACGGAGGACAGGATCTCTTTCTCCACGGGGGGATGCTCTGTTGCAGAGTACATACTGCCTCTTTCCACTAAGCTATTTATATTGGCAATGTTTGCACAAGTCTTGCTGGACAAATACAGAGCCCCATCCTGCAAACATTTCTGCTCTTCTCAGTATACTTACTCTTGGTATTTAAGTATTTGCTGGATCAGGCCCCTAATTTATAATGAATGTCAGGCAAGTCTCAGTGTATTTCAGCTAAATGTTAGCAGAGGGTCCTAACCCCGGTGGGGGATTTTAGAAATAATACTTTAGCTTGTCTTTCAAGCCCACCCTGTCTCCATTCTTGAGGGAGTGCAGAATAAAATGGGGGGGGGGGGAAGAAATCATTTCTTCAACACAAAACATTCTGAAGGCCTCATTGAACCTTGTACTGTTTTAAAGCTATCAAGAGCTTTGCTTAGGCCTTGATTTAATCTGAATCAATGCATAATGCAACGAAGCTGTTCATAGTACATTAATTTTACTTCCATTTCAAGCAGCCAGTTTTCAGACAAACACTGTAATCATTTGGAGTTATATAAGTTTATAATGGCTGCTGGAGGCCTGTTGCAATCAGTGCCAATTGCTATTAGGTATGTAAATTGTTATGTAAAACATACAGGTTTGACATTCTTCATCAAAATAACACATGGTTTTAATCTGGGAGATAAATTAGAGTAAATAATATTTCGATCCATGGCATTTTCCCTTTAAGGAAATAAAGTATCATTCAATCTATAGATAAGGAGGAAAAATACCCCCATTTACAGCTTTTGTTGGAAACTGTGAAAGATCTACATTGTGCCGCAATATTTATGCAAAATTGGGTTACAACTGTATCTTCTCCACCTACAATTGTTTTACAGATTGTGGCACTACAAACTGTACATGTCAAAGCAATTCTAAACACTGCATTCTGTATTAAACAGATATAGTCTGGTTTTATATTCTCCAAAGTCAGTAATTTATTAAGTATAAACACATTCTGGGGCTTAAAAATATGATCCCTTTTGTGCCTTTCTTGACCACCTTTAAATATCTTCCTTTAATGTTTGTCCTTTCATAAAGAACATCTGGGCACAATAAAGATACGTCATATTATTAACTCAGAAGAAAGGCATTACAGACGCTGCAGATTTACAAAACAGAAAACTAGAGAGTTTTCAACATGCCTATTTCTAGTCATAATCAGTGGATTTAAACCTATAAATATCCGGCAGCAACTACCCCAGAAGGAAGAGATGCAAATCTAGGCATAAGACAGTGAAATGCCTGGACTGGAAAACGTGGAGATATAAATACGGTCCCCCCCATCCATAAGGCTTTAAAATAGGCGTCGTGTGCAAATGCTTTCTCCAGAGAAGCCAAACCATTCTAAAATGTCAACAAGAAAGTGAGAAAAAGGATACTTACTCTGCTTAAAACCTAAATAGGGTATTCGTTCAATTGGTGTTTTCCTTTCTTTCATATATTTATAAAGAGCCACAAGGAAAGCCTGCTCATCAGCTCTGCATTCTTCACCTACGGCAATCTTTGATTTATCCTCACTTGAGCCTTTCTTACAGTTGTTGTTGTTGTTACTCTTGGGTTTGGGCAAAGCTGACTTAGCCTCACATTTTACCTGGGAAAAGAAAAGATGTCATATCAGATCTGGGTAACCTTTAATTTTCACTTAAGGAATAAATACCCTCTCCTAGCAGAATGGATTGTTGAAAAAATGAAGGCCAAACCATGTGACTGTCTTTGAGGGGAAACAAAGGAAGCTATTTATAGAGCTAAATGTCTTGTTCTGAATCTTAGTCACAACATTTTTAAATAGCCACATCTTTAAATCATTATAACTCATTGGTAATGCTCTCCAGATCTGCATTTTTATGACTATACATTGCTATGTCACAGACAGCTTCCATCTCTCACATACACTTGCCATTAGCAAGTCTAATAATAACCTTCGTTCCAGGATTGACACCGAGCGTTGTCAACTCCCGTAGACAACCCTTGGAGCTGAGGGTGCTCAGCCCCTTCCAGGAATGCTCAGCAGCCAGCTCTGAAATGACACATTTTTCTCTCCTTTGGCCCACCAAAACAGATGCAAACCTTGGCAAGCCTTACCCAGGCAGAGCTCTCAGCACATGAGTGGAGGTTCTGCTGTAGCATGGACTCAAGTCATGTGGATTTGGGCATTGGCTTAAACTTGAGCACAGCCCTAAGTCTTTAGCAGAAGGGAGAGGCTGGTAGCTGGAGCCTGTCCTGGTAGACACTGGGAGCCCCAAAGCACATAAGTCCCAGAGCTCCAGGTTTCCCACTGGCCTGCCCGGCAGATGTGTGCCAGTCAGGAAATCAACAAATTGGAACCACTTTACCTCTTATCAGTATTCAAATATGGAGAAAAATATCCAGTGAGACTGGCTTAATCCTGCAGTCCCTCCTGAAGATAATCCTCTCATTGAATCAAGCAAATTATAAGTCAAGCATTCACTTGATGTGTGTATACAAAAAAAATTAAAAGAGCAACCTTGCAAACCAATGTGTAAAAGCTTTACATGATCAAGACATTGGGACCGTGCAGTCAATACATTTCGAGTGAAATACTGGAAGTCCTCTAATACAAGATAGTGGAGATGGTTACATGTATTTTGGATTTGCACTACCCCTTCAAGGCTTTTGAGCGCTGTCAGGGGCCTTCTGGCAGTTCCATACCCCATCCAAGACATATCCTTTGTGCTCCCAGAGGGAGTAGGGAGACTGTAAGAGCCACTATTTTGTATTTTAGGAGGACAGCTGAGGACAGCAGGGTATCTTGCTGCACAGGAAAGCAGGAACTCTCGCTGAAGCAACCAATGGACTCTCCTTCAGAACTGTCAGTTCTAAATCAGGTGCTTCCTAGGTACTTTTGACATTTTGGAAACAACTGCTGTATAAAGCATTACATATGTGCTTGTAAACAAATAACAAACATATCATTGGAAAGACCATGATATACTTATTTCATCTTAATAAAGCTACCCTGCATTTCAGGCTCAGGGAAAGCAACATCTTTATACTCCACCAGTCATTAACTTTGCAGAAAGCTCTGACTTGAGGTTATCCATCTCCATAGTTTTCCACAGACGGTGGACAAAGCAGTGGTAGCTCCTAACCAAACGGGACAAGTGGTTCCAGTTTTCCATGGTAGTTGATGCTGCTGAAAAACCTCCATGTTGGTCACTGCAGGGTACAGGCTCACTCCTCCCAGGCAATGCAGCAGGGACTGGGAAATGGACTTCTTATGGGATTTTTCCTGATCACTTGCTGCTGCAATATGTCCACTGTACTGCTTGATATTCTCCAGCAGCATGGTTAAAAAAAGATACTGTCTTCCTACGGCACAAGACATTGTGCTTTGCCATGTAGCAATAGATATGCTTGTTGATTAAACTTCTGTAAAGATCCTGGGTTTCATCCAAAACTCAATGGAGCTAATGGGATTTTTATCC